AGGTGGATGGCAACATCTGCAATAACAGTAGCACCAGAGCCATGTCTGAGACTTCCTGTTCCCATCATCCCAGCAGACATTTTGTCCCACTTTTCCCTCAGGATACTCTTGAGGGGAAAGAGCTGATTTAGATAGAAATATAGAGGGGAGAGAGACAGACAGAAACACAGGATAGCCTCTGGAGGACCTGGATCCTTATCCACCAGCCCCCTCTGTCTCTTCTAAAGGGCTTTTTATGGGAAAACCAAGGGGTGGAGCAAAGACTTCCCCCTAGCACAGCCAAGTGCAAACCCTTTCAATCACCTAGTAACCACACATGTGGTCAAGCAATCCTCTAATGCAGCCCTGCTGGGTAAAGCAAGCTCAGAACTCACTAGGAAACCTTTGTGGGTCTCCACAATCTTGGAGAGTGGAAGGAAAACTGGGGTTGTAAAAATGAATACAGTTGTATGGGAAAGTCTAGGGGTGTGGTGGTTTTTCTGGGACCCAGTGAGTTTAGTACCACATGAGCTTCATGATCTAGACTTATTTGGTGGCCATTGGAAGCATAGAACTTTTCACACCAGGGCATATGTACTCAGAGGTATCTGTGCCTTTCTTAGATACTGTACTGGGTCTCTGTGGATCTATGTAATACTACCAATGCAGGTTCTCCTTTGCTCTGGAAGAAATTCACCCAGAGTCCTAACTGTACGGGAGACTGTGCAGGGAGGGAAACAGCCTTTGCAACATGAACTGTGCGAAGAGAAGACAAGCCAGAAAAATAGAAGGGAAGAGGTTTCCTTATTAAAAAAGAAAGTGTCCTAGAGTTGTTTCCTCAAAATTGAAACATTCTCTCCAGAAGGGTGGGGAAGGCTGATGGTCAACAAAAGGTCACATGTCTGGGAAATTTGAAACATGGAATATTCTGAAAGTGTCATTTTCAGATTTATAGCAAGAATCAGCTGGGAGAGGAGACTGACCAGGCAAGGAGAGAGTTCTTGGATATGCTGAGCTATCTCCAGGTTGTGCAGAGAGCTCCCAGGATGTAGCTTTTTGTCAGCCGTCGCTCACCTGCTTTTGAGACATTCCTGCTCCTATAAGTAATTCTTCACAAATACTCCACCATTATGATGACAAAAACTCATTGGCCCACTAACATGGACTTTAGTGCAGTTGTTACTTTAGTCTGTCACTGGTTCCTTATCTAGGGTGAGTAAATGTGTGTGTGTGTGTGTGTGTGTGTGTGTGTGTGTGTGTGTGTGTGTGTGTGTGAGAGATCTCCCTAGGAAAAGTCTGTCATACAATAGGCACAAGTACAAAAGAGTTTGTGTCAACTTCCTGACCAGCTTACCGACCTGTATAGATGCCCATCTGAGTTTGGAGGGCACTCACTGAAGTTTCCAGGTTCTGTGTCCCAGGACAGTGAATTTCACTGTGCTAGTTTTTCCTGCACAGTTGAGAAAAGGAACCTCAATTGAAAAAAATGTCTTCATCAGATTAGACTATAGGCAAGTCTGTAGGGGTATTTTCTTCATTAATGATTGATGTGTGTGGTCCAGATTTTCATCTTTCTGTCTCTGTCTCTCTCCGTCTCCCCTCTTTTCCCCATCCTCTCCTTCTCTCCATTTCATTATTCTGCCACAAAAAGAGGCTACATTTAAGACACAGTGCAGACAGGGCATTGGCAATAGCAGTGGAACAATGCAAGTAGAATAGCTGTGAGCAGGTCCGTGGTTTCAGAATGGGGGATTATCTAGATTGCTTGTAAGTATCGGCCAACTTGGTTTTCTCTTACTGTACTCTTTGGACTAAAGATTAAAGGGCAGTTTGAGTTTATAAATAGCAACAGATATGAGCAATCTGATTAAAAAAGATCAAGATTCTGATTAAACATTAAATTTATTCAAATTTTAGTTTTATTTTTTCCTCCAAATAGAGAATATTTATTTTCTGTTTAAAAAAATGGAGCACTGGTGAATATTTGAATAACTTTCTTGTTTTAGAGGCAGCCTCAAATCCATCTCTTCCTATTTTCTTCAGTGTAATTCGAGGAATGTGTTAGTATTATGTTATCCCCTGACCCTCAAGCCCTACCTTCCCGAATCCATTAAGTTTGAATTTTAATTAAAATCTTAGGACTTTAGAAGCTGTCACATTCATCAAACTCAAGCTTCTTAAACAGACCATGTATCAGAATATCATGGTAGCTTTTTTTTTTTTTTTGCATTGTGCAGTCTTGGGGTGTCCCCACAGGCAAAATGTCTTGAGAAATACTGAGCTTGTTAATAAAGAAGCCCACAGTAAGTATATAATGGCAGGTTAGGTCATGATACATATTCTGAAGAAATGTAGCCGATTGAAGGGGATAAACTGACAGAAGGAAACATTAATTTAAGAGTCATTTGAGGAACCCAGCCCGTGAAAGAAAGGCACATTTAGTCTCAAGCACTCATGAAAAGTTACATCAAGTTTTGAAAAGGAAGGAGGGAATGATGTTTCATCTGTGGGAGCATCAGGTACAAAGATGCTGAGAAAAGTGTGTGGAGGAGCTGCAAAGCTTGGATCCTCCTTGGGAGTCACATGACCATAGAGCTGGTATGGACATACACTCTCATTTATCTACTTTTCTTTTTCCTAAACCCCACCAAACAATGAAAAGGGGTTACAGGTAAGGTATAACCCAATGAACTGACTTTATTCCAGTCATTCTGAAGTCATATTCAGTGCTATAAGGAGACTGAGAGGGACTGAAGTGCTTAGTAGTGAAGGAGTAGCAGCTGATTTTATTGGTGAATCCAAATTAAACAAATTTGTTTGCCTCACTGTCTATAATTTGTTTCAATTTATGATTTAGCTGAAATTTTTATTTAAAATCGTTATAGGGAAGCACTATGTTCCAATTATGCTTACTTAAATATTATCCTGAAGTTTTCAGATTTTTCCTCACATTGAACTACCATGCTATCTTTCCTTCCTACCATCAGGGCTATACCTCAAGTGGTTGCTAGTCTTTTTCATGAAAACAGTATGTATTAAATCCAAAACAGAATGACATATCCTTAAAGTTTAACCTATCATGGCAATGAGTCTTAAAATCATGAGTTAGTTCATCATACTGAATATGGTTGTATTAGATAGTATTAGCTTTAATTTGTTTTCCATATTCTCAAATTGATTATTTTAACAGTAATATGGAAAGTAAAGTAATGTGCCATAATTGGCCCTTGCATATGGTGGATGAGAAATTCTAACATATAGTGGATGAGAAATCCTACCCCAGCTCAGAGAGATGTAATTAAGTTTACTTGTCACAGCAGGCATGTTCAAAGGGTCCTCACTCTGGTTGAAGCACACAGGCAAGGTGTGATGGCTATTCTTAGTCGTAATTTGACTACCTCTGGAATTAACTAACACCAAAAAATGGAGGGCATACTTGTGGGGATTTTTGCTTAATTTGAAGTAGGAAGATCCACTTCTAATGCAAATCTACGATTGTGGGGTGCTGGTGTGTTGCAGGTCTGGAGCCCAGTTATCCTGTGCTGTCTTTAATCATCAAATGGCTGCTTATTGTCCACCTCTGTGTTTGACCTCATTTCTAAGTGATCACTAGATAAAACCCTTTTTGGATTTGAGCTTTCATCAATCTAGAGGCTAAGAACATCCTAAGGTATTATATGAAGCCCACAATAGAGATTTTCATGCTCTGCTCTGGCCTACCGGCTTGAGTACTACACACACTTTTTAAAATCACCAGAATTTGTGACTTTCTTCGGTTTCTAGAAAAATCTTTTTAAATTTTTACCATATTGGAACATTGTATTTGGAGAAAAAGCCAGAATTTGTGTTCTTTGTCCATGGTCACTAACATTTGACTCCTGAATAAACTTTGTCTTCTTCTTTTTGAATTCACCATTGTGGTTTTATATCAACACAACCTAAGGATGCCTTCTGTCTCTGTCTCTATCTCTCTGTGTATGTGTCTGTTTGTCTGTCTCTCTCCCTCTAGTCCTTCCCTTGGGCAACATGACTTTTGGTTACCAACTTTTACTGTATTGACTGGCTTCTTTGTATGCATTGAGAGGGCAAACTAGCCGGGCGGTGGTGGCGCACGCCTTTAATCCCAGCACTCGGGAGGCAGAGCCAGGTGGATCTCTGTGAGTTCGAGGCCAGCCTGGACTACCAAGTGAGTTCCAGGAAAGGCGCAAAGCTACACAGAGAAACCCTGTCTCGAAAAAAAAAAAAAAAAAAAAAAAAAAAAGAAGAAGAGAGGGCAAACTATATCAGTTGTATTGTATAATTGCCAAGTGGTATTGTGGAAGAATGTTTCCTATGAATGCTGTGGATTAGATTAAGCTATTTTAAATTTAATCAACATTGTACTGATGGGAACTGGATTGCTTGTTTAAATCTCTGAGAGCCATCTCTCCATGAATTATTTAATTCCTTCCATTGTCCTTTGCTATTTTGAAGATATAAACAATGTTCACTTCTATCAGAAAAAATACATGTTTGAAAGGCAAATTACATATTTGAAAACTGAAGATACAGTTTCCTTTCATCAGATTGAAGAACCATTGATATCTGTATTTGTTAGACTATTAAGGCTAACAAATAACAATACTATTGTCAGACTATTAAGGCTAATTGAGAAATGCTGAGAACATGGTTTATTAAAAACAGAGGATATTTTATAAAGCATCAGAATACAATCTGTTTATTTTTTATTTTGGGGATTACAACACAACATTTTCATTTCTTACAGAAATATCACTTCATAGTATTCAAATTCTGCTTTCTATCAGGCTAAAATTTTACTTACAAAGAAGAACTGTAGTTAAATGGATTTACTCAAAGTTATATTGTTATGGTGCTATTGGGAGTAAATAAAAACAAGAAGAAAGCAACGCAGGACTTCATGAGCAAGAGAAGGATGGATTCAGGTGACGCAGAAGGTTGTCTTTCCAGGGAAAGGCTCCCCCAAAGAATTAATTGGTATATTCCAAACCAAGGGCAATTCATTAGGAAGTATGCTTGAGGATATACTTAGCAATAAATTTGACAGAAAGCATGGTTTCTTTACAAGTTGGTTTTATCCGTGATTCTGGAAGAAGGAAACCAAATTTGCCTTTATCACGGAGCTCAAAGGCAAATGTGTGTTTGATGCCCAGGTCATAAGCCCAGTCTAAAGAAGAACCTGATGTCGGGTCTGCAAAACAGAATCAGTAAATATTTCATTAGAGGCAACTACTGAGGCTTTTTTCTTTTTAAGACATGGGAATTGCTGGCGCAGAGAAGATAGCTCAGTGGGTAAAGCATTTGAAATGCAAAGATGAAGTCCTGAGCTTGGATTCTCAGTACTCATCAAAAAGCCAGACATGGTGGCTCTTGCCTATAATGCCAGTTTTGATAGGATCCCCATGGTTTGTTGGCCATCCAGTTTAGACACTGGTGAATTTCAGTTTTCATGGGTGACCTTGTCTCAAAAAAATAGAGTATAAAACAATAGAGAAAGAACCCAATGTTGGCCTCTGGCCCCTAAACTCAACACACACACACTCAAAATTGCATGTGTAAAATTAACAATAACAGTAATTATATATATATATAGTTGATTGCTGTAATGACAAAGTAGTATAAATGGTACAGAATGCATTTGTAATCTACCATATATTTTAAATATGTACTGCATTCAAAAATTTTAATTTTTTTCTTCTTATTTTTTAAAATTAACATACAAAGTAATTTCATTATGACATTTTAATATGTATCTGTTGTTATACTTTTTTCACACTTTTGATCTCCTGTTATTTATGCTGTCAGAGAAAATTGTTTATAGTTATAAGACCAAGAAAGTTCAAATTAACTATTTTAAGGACATATTTAATACTCAAATCCAAATTTTATATCAATTTCTGTGAAACTTTACTAAAGATGCCATTATTTAGTAAAAAAATGTTTAAAGACAAACATCTAGAGAGAGGTTTCTCTCTTTGTGTATGTATTGTATGTATTTACACTGTGTGAAAATATATGCTAAATATATGATTGCATACACCTACTATACAATATACTTATACAACATATAATAAATGCATGTATATGTTTTCCTTTGTGTAATGGAATAGTACTTTTGTGTTTAAAATCATTGATATTTTAGGATATGCTTAATTGATACCAATATCTTAAGTTTAAAAATAAGAATTTAAAGCTTTTATGAAGAAAGAAGGGATATTTGGGTGGGAAGAGACAAACCAATTATTCAACAGCTACTTATGAAATCTCTAACATGTCCAATAGACTTTACATGGGCTGAGCACAGTAATGGACCCATCTAGTCCCAACAGTATAGAGGCTTAGACAGGGACATGGTATGAGGCCAGTGTGGGCTACGTTGTGAGACCTTATCTCAAACAAAAATAAACAAAACCAAAAATAAACATAAAACAACAACACAATAGCTACCCAAAACAAGCCCCAGAACAATGTATTTATTTGGTCCTAGAAAGGGCAGGCAATGCAAGTTTACAAAGATGACTTGTGCTTTTAGGATCTTGCAGTTTAGAGGAGAGACAAAGGTGAAGAAAACTTTAGTGCCATGCACAGCTGTAAATGCCACAGGGAAGAAGTCCCACTTGATAAAGATTTAAAAGAGAAGCAATATTGTGCTTACTGAGCAGGACTCATATTCAAACTTGTCAAATTCACTTTCATGATGCAGAGCGTATTAGAGGGCTAAGAAGGAGAAATATACATTTTTTTTCCAGGTGGAGGTAGAGAAAGGCATTCTGGCAAGTGAATTCTAACAGTGAAAAAAACAGGGGCATTCTAGGGACCTGTGAGGTCTGTTAAATAAGCAGTGATTTGGAAACCTTGTAAATCAGATGTGTTCAGACTTTTTTGAGAAGCAATAGGCAGTTTCATACTCTTTATAGAGTACGGGAGGCAGGGGTGGGAGGAAGCTTAGGTTATAAAGCCTAGGTTAGAAAGTCTAGACACCAAATGTTCAGCATTGTGAAGTGAAAGGCAGAGCTAAGATAGAGACAACATATCAGGTATGATAATGGGGTGGTAGATGACATAATTTGATTAAAAAATGACTAAAATTTCAGTCTGAATAGTGGGAAAAATCTGCATTGTTAACAAATTTGGGTGAAGTAGGGAAATGAGAGGATCAAAGAGGAGAAAGGGAGTGAAATTTGGCCTTATTAAGAAGACATTCAGGAAGGAAGCTGGGGAAATCAAGCTGTTACTGACAAGGCATTATGAGTGGAGGTGATGCACATATGCTTGGGATTATTTCCTTGTTGGTGGATGGATCTACTTCTCATTACTAATGTTTCTTAGGTTTTGCTCTGAAATTTATTTTATATGATATTTAACATAACTTCTTCCTTCTTTTTTCTTAGTTTTTACCATTTTTTATTTGAACCTATCTGTATAGATTAGAAATAAGTTTCTTATAGATGGCACATTGATGAATAACAATGAGTTATCTTGAGTCTATACACATTGAATGTCAGATGAAATAGTATTTTTTATTCAATCATGAGGACAGATTATTATTATATTATGTATGAACGTATGCATATATCTCTATCATCTACAAACCCATCTTTTTCTCTCTATTCCTAGTCCACTATTCTTCCTTTCTGCACTTCTCAGCCTTCTTCTGTTTTTGTTTCTTTTGTTATTGGAAAGATTCCTTTAGCAATTATTTAAAGGAAGATCTGAAGGTAATAAGTTCTCTTTGTCTTGTGTCTATTTCCCCCTTTGCTTATGTTTAGAACTTAAGTTGCTAGGTCTTTCTTTTCAGCATCTGAAACTAGAGTGTTCTTTTTGATCTCCACGGTTTCAAATGGATTACAATCAAATATTTTTGGATAAGTCAGGACACACTTTTCATTGAAGAAGTTTATAGGAATCAATTCTACTCTTGTTCCATGTTCTGCATTGTGGTAAGTATTAGGGATTCTGGGAGGCTGACTAACTTATATTAACATAACTATAACTCTTTTTAATTTTTTCCTTTTATTGAAAACAGATATTTTTCACATAATATATCTTGATTACATTTCCCCTGCTCTCTGTTCTTCCCTATTCCTCTCCAACTCCCCTCCCATTTGGATCCACTCCCTTTCTGTCTCTCATTAGAAAACAAATAGGCCTTGGGGGAGATTGATTCCCAATTTTCTAAGAAAGTGACATATTGGTTTCCAAAGTGGCTGTACAAGCTTGCATTCCCACCAACAGTGTAGGAGAGTTCCCCTTGCTCTACAACCTCTCCAGCATAAGCTGTCTTCAGTGTTTTTGATCTTAGCCATTCTGACACGTGTAAGGTGGTATCTCAGAGTCGTTTTGATTTACATTTCCCTGATGATTAGGGATGTTGAGCAATTCCTTAAATGTCTTTCAGCCATTTGAGCTTCCTCTGTTGAGAATTCTCTGTTTAGTTCTATAGTCCATTTCTTAATTGGACTGTTGGGCATTTTGATGTCTAATTTCTTGAGTTCTTTATATATTCTGGATATCAGCCCTCTGTCAGATGTGGGGTTGGTGAAGATCTTTTCCCAATCTGTAGGCTGTCGCTTTGTCTTGTTGACTGTGTCCTTTGCTCTACAAAAGCTTCTCAGTTTCAAGAGGTCCCATTTATTGATTGTTTCTCTCAGTGTCTGTGCTACTGGTGTTATATTTAGGAAGTGATCTCCGGTGCCAATGCATTCAAGACTACTTCCTATTTTCTCTTCTACCAGATTCAGAGTAACTGGATTTATGTGGAGGTCCTTGATCCACTTGGACTTAAGTTTTGTGCATGGTGACAGATATGGATCTATTTGCAGCCTTTTACATGTTGACATCCAGTTATGCCAGCACCATTTGTTGAAGATGCTTTCTTTTTTCCATTGTACAGTTTTGGCTTCTTTGTCAAAAATTATATGTTCATAGGTGTGTGGATTAATGTCAGGGTCTTCAATTCGATTCCATTGGTTTACATGTCAGTTTTTATGCCAGTACCAAGCTGTTTTTATTACTGTCGCTCTATATTAGAGATTGAGGTCAGGGATTGTGATGCCTCCAGAGGCTGTTTTATTGTACAGGATTCTTTTGGCTATCCTGTTTTTTTTGTTTTTCCATATGAAGTTGAGTATTGTTCTTTCCAGGTCTGTAAAGAGTTGTATTGGTATTTTGATGGGGATTGCATTGAATCTGTAGACTGCTTTTGGTAAGATTGCCATTTTTACTATGTTAATCCTGCCTATTCATGAGTATGGGAGATCTTTCCATTTTCTGACATCTTTTTCAATTTGTTTTTTCAGGGACTTAAAGTTCTTGTCATATAGGTCCTTCACTTGCTTAGTTAGAGTTACCCCAAGGTATTTATATCATTTGTGGCTATGTCACTCTTAGGCATATTCCCAAGGAATGCTGAATCATATCACAAGGGCACATGCTCAGCTATGTTCATAGCAGCATTAATTGTAATAGTCAGAACCTGGAAACAACCTAGATGCCCTTCAACCGAAGAATGGATAAATAAAATGTGGTAATATACACAATGGAGTACTCAGCAGAGAAAAACAACAACATCATGAAGTTTGCAGGCAAATGGATGGGTCTAGAAAAAAATCATCCTGAGTGAGGTAACCCAGACTCAGAAAGACAAACATGGTATGTACTCACTCATAGGTAGATACTAGATGTAAAACAAAGGATAACTAGACTGCTAATCACAACTCCAGGGAGGCTACCTAGAAAAGAGGACCCTAAGAAAGACACAGGGATCGCCCAACAACAGAGAAATGGATGAGATCTACATAAGCAAACTGGACGTCGGGGGTGGTGGTAATGAAGGGCAAGGGTTGAGGGAAAGAGCTTAGGGGAGCGGGAGATCCCAGCAGAGAGGGAGAACAAGGAAAAAGAGACCATGATAAATGAAGGCCCGATGGGAATAGGAAGAAGCAAAGTGCTAGAGAGGTCCACAGAAATCCACAAAGATACCTCCACAATAGACTACTGGCAATGGTCGAGAGAAAGCCTGAACTGACCTACTCTGGTGATCAGATGGCCAAACACCCTAACTGTCGTGATAGAATGCTCATCCAATGACTGATGGAAGCAGATGCAGAGATCCACGGTTAGGCCCCAGGTGGAGCTCCAGGAGTCCAATCAGCAAGAGAGAGGAGGGATTATATGAGCAAGAGATATTGAGACCATGATTGGAAAAAGCACAGGCACAAATAGACAAACTAGCGGAAACACATGAACTGTGAACCAATGGCTGAGGAGCCCCCATGGAACTGGATCAGGCCCTCTGGATAAGTGAGACAGTTCATTAGCTTGAACTATTTAGGAGGACCCCAGGCAGTAGGACTGGGACCTGTCCTTAGTGCATGAGCTGGCTTTTCAGAACCTAGGGCCTGTGCAGGGACACTTTGCTCAGCCTGGGTGCAGGGAGGAGGGCACTGGACCTGCCTGGACTGAATCTACCAGGCTGAGCAGAATCCCCAGGGGAGTCCTTGCCCTGGAGGAGATGGGAATGGGGATGGGCTGGGGGGAGGGGAGGAGGAGGGAGGACAGGGGAATCCATGGCTGATGTGTAAAATTAAATTAAATTATAAAATAAAAAAAATTTTAAAAAGCCACAAATTATGTCTCATTAAATTGTATAAATAATGCCAGACTGTTCTGTTCCATACTTGTTAACTAATTCTGTAATAATAAAATCAATTTCTGTTGTAAAACAAACAAACAAACAAAAACAAAAAAAGAAAACAAACAGGCTTCTAAGGGATAATAATAAATGAAACAAGATAAAGCAAAAATTAACATATTGGAGTTGGGCAAGACAAACGGAGTGAGAAAAGCCCAAGAGAAGGCACAAGACTCAGAGTTTACACACTCAGTAATTCCATAAAATCATTAAGCTGGAAGCCATAACATATGCATAAAAGACCTGGTGAAGACCCATGCAGGTCCTGCTCATGCTGCCTCAGTCTCCATGAGTTCATATAAACTATTCTTACGTTATTTTAGAGGGCCTTGCTGTCTTTATGTCCTCCATCCCTTTTGGCTCTTAAATTCTTTCTGTTCCCTCATCCAGAGGGTTCCCTGAGTCCTGAGGGGAGAAGTTTGATGGAGACATCCTAATAACTATAACTCTTGCCAAAAGAGAAGAAGTTATCTTAATCCACAGAGTCTGGTCTTTGGGAAAAATCAAAGCATGTTTTTGTTATTGTTGATTTTATTTCTTGAAAATAAAAAACACTGGTTAGTCACAAAACCCAAATAACAAAAGTCATATGCATAGAAGTGAGGACTTTGGTTTTGTTATAACTTTACTTTGTATTTTCTTTGCCAATCCTTGTAACTGAGAAGCAGTATTTGATCATGGTTTGGGGTCTTTTTGTGAGGATTAATTTAGATCATGTGAATCAAGTGCTGAACCCAGTGACCAGCTTATGAGTCAACTAACAACTACAGATGATACTTAGAACGGAGTCTGAAACTTGGCAAATTATTTCTTCCTGTTTTTGGGAATGGGGGTTTATATGAACATAGCCATGCTCATTTTTAACGTATTGTCTGTGGCTGCTTTTAAATTATAATGCCCCAATTGAGTAGTTACAACAGAGGCTATTCTGGCACTAAAGTCAAAACAAATAGCTGACCCTGTAGAAAGTTTGCTGATTCCATGTAAAAAGAATAAGAGATAAGAAAGTTCCTTAAGACTAAGCAAACTAAGTAAAAACCCAACAACAATGAAAGTCTATAATATTGAAGAATTAGAAATTGGGGTGAGAAAATAAACAAAAGAAGAGAACTCAAATCTTATCTCCTTTCCTACACTACCACACATACTCTTTCACCTGTAGCAGGAAGAACAGATCAGAGGGACAAGAGAATACGAGTCAACACACCCACCCACCATAGATTAATGGGAAGATACTACTAGAATGGAGATAAGACCAAAGAAGAGATGATTCAATTCAAGTTAAGTAGATGAAACAAGATGTGGCCTCTGCCCCAACTAATTCTTGTTCTGCTGAAGATGAAAAATTGGTTTTGGGGAACAGAAAGGTAGATAAAGTAAGCTATAAATTTCTATTGATTTAATAATTTATCTTAATTTTATAGCCCTGTAAAAGTTCATATTAATTTGTCTCAAAAACTGCCCTCTCTCAGGAGACAGGCACATCCTGTCTTTTAGGTTCACATGTAATATAGAATCTCTTGTAACAGCTGGAGTTTACAATCTACAAATTTGGTATATATATGTGACAGGAATCTAAAAAGTTCTTATTAATAAAATCAAACCTGAGCCAGGTATTGGGGTGAACTGGAAGATCAGAGAACCAGAACAAGCCACAGCTACCTCACCTCACTGGATCCTCAGCTGGTCTTGTTTCTTCAGACTGGAGGCCTCTGAGTCCTCAATCAGGATGGGCCTCAGCTGAACTGCTGCTCAAAAGCCTGAATGCTTAACCAGGCCAAATGCTTAACCAGCCAAATACTTCTAGTTTCTGGTCGTCAAGCCTTTCTGCTTTCTACCACCACTCCCTGGGATTAAAGGCTCACTTTCTGGGATTAACAGTGTGAGTCACCATGCTTGGCTGTATCCTTGAACACATGGATTTCTGCCTCTGGAATGCTAGGATTAAAGGTGTGTGCTACCACTGCCTATCCTCATATTTAATATTGTGGCTGTTCTATCTCTGACCCCAGATAAGTTTATTAGGGTGCACAATATTTTGGGGAACACAATACCACTTTCTCTCTCTCTCTCTCTCTCTCTCTCTCTCTCTCTCTCTCTCTCTCTATATATATATATATATATATATATATATATATATATATATATATATATATATATTTACATAGACATAAAGAAATAGTCATAGTAAATGACAGGAAAAACTTACAAATTGTTGATGCTATTGGACCGTAGATGTAACGGGTTTCATATCTAGTTGAAAGAACATCAGTGGCAATCCTTGCAACCTTGAACTAGAGAGGAAAGTGAGAGAGGGTTACAGAATGCTATATGAATACATTTTTTAGGAGTTAAAAACTAATTTTACAGGTTATTTAGCATTTGAAGATCAAAATAAGATAAATGGCTAGGTAAAAACATTGTCAAAGTACAATCAATCAATTATATGGAATTTTGTGTTTTCTCTCTCTCTGTATCCTTTTTTAAAAGGGTTGAAGATTTATTTATGTAAGTATATGAATGTTTGAATGTTTTTTCCCATGTGTATGGATGCCCATGGAGGTCAGAAGAGGGCAATAGATTCCCTGTAACTGAAATTATAGATGGTTGTGAGCCACCATATGGGTGCTGGGACTCAAACCCTGGTCTTCTGCAAGAACAAGTGCTCTACATAGATAAGCTATCTTTCTAGTCTGGTGTGTCCTGTCTTTCAGACTCTTTTTGGCTTCAGATAATGACCCTTTCAAAATCATTTTCTCCCATCCCTTTCTCTGTAATAAGTCCATTATTGATACAGAACTTTTTTGACTTGTGCTAGCAGAAGAGAGGTAGTTGATTCATTTTTGTTTTAATCTTCATTGACTGGACTCGTGTGTGTGTGTGTGTGTGTGTGTGTGTGTGTGTGTGTGTGTGTGTGTTTGCATGTGTGCATGTAAACACTACTTGGGATCTAACACAGGACACTGCACGCTAGCCAAACACTTGACCACTGAACTACATCTCCTGTATAGCTTACTCATCTTTAAAGTGGTCCTGTTATGTTAGGGTTTCTTTTCTGGCATGGCATTTCATCATGTATACTCAATTGTTTGTGGGAGGGGAGTAATTGTTAGGATGAACATTAATGGATATAGTCTCTAATATATTTGAACTCCAAATGAGTGTTTTTTCATCACTATGTATAAATGTATATAATTAAGAAATATATTTTATTTAATATATAAATAAATTAGCTGTTTTATAAAACCTTTCAGTTTACTTAGAAAGGCTTGCTGTGTATATCTGTGTGCATTTTCATCCCCTCAAAGTATGCAACTGCCTTGTTGTATCTGCACAAATTAATCAACTCCTGAGTTCAGATTCTTAGCTAGATTGGATCATAAGCTACAGTGTGATCACAGAATACTTTTGTATTTTCTTAACGTATAGATGGAATTAATGGCTGCTTGAAATCTCAGATTTAGTTAACATTAAATGTCACTGTGATGAATACAATTGAGTGAGTTCAAGATTAAAAATCATGTCCCAGTTTTTTCTTAAGTTGATTTGAACTGTCGGAGCCACAACATTGACTGGATGCACTGTCTGCTAGCTACTGTGTGATTTGGGATACCAGACCCTGTATACTGCCCATATTATCTTCTATGGTAATTCAAGATAGTTACCTATGTGCAGGTTAACTATGTGTGCATGGTGTTCTTTCTAAAACTTATGTGATTAAATCAGTTTTCATAGAAAAAAAATCATGTTCAGTGGATCACAGATTTGAAATAATATCATATTCTTACTGACAGAGCACTATGATATTCGTAGTGTTCTTTAGATAGTGGAAGAATTCATATTTTAAGATTACTAATAGAGAAAAATATATCATGGATCTCCTTTAGTCTGGTGTCCAGAGGTTAGAACTAGTTACTATCTCTGCTGCTCAATTAGGCATTTGCCCTACATGGTTCTATAGTATGCCCCAAAGAAAGTATTAAACAGTATTTATAAAATGACTGCATATATTAGAATTCTATATCTAGGCCATCTAATATTAGAATTCTATTCTTGATGGTCTAGACATTTCTTATAAAATTTTCTTAGAATCACATTTTAATATTTTACTGTGTTTACAATTATCAAATAAAAAATCTAAAGATAATTATTTTAACTACAGAGTAAACTTCATTACTTCTTTTTCTGGTATTTGAAATGTGAGGCCTTAGTGTGGTAGCAAAATTGTATTTCTAGGATTTGGGAAGTTGAGGCAGGGTGGATGGTGAGTGTAAGGTGAGGCTGAGTCACATTGTGCATTCAACGCCAACCTGAGTTACATAGTAAGACCATGTCTCAAAACAACCAACCCAACAAAGTGAAACCATTTCAGCATATGTCAAAGTTGATGATGATATAAATGTACAAACCACTATATATATGGTGTATTTTACATACCAGGTCATTGTGGTTGGGTGGCAGTTTGGATGTATAGCCATAAGGAAATAATAGCATTTGGGAGTAGGAATGGAAGGTGATATAAGCCTTGATTGAGTTCAGATGGCTTCGAATGAAGTTGGTGACAGCTTTTGTCTCTTTCTCAGACTCTGGTGCAGGGCCCCTGTAGACATCCTGGCATGGGTTTTTGGTGTTTGGAGAAGCTACAGAAGAAATGTGGATGAGATCACAATGTGCTGGTTACTAGCACCACCCTTGCCTCTTATGATATGGGTTTACCCAATGCTGAAAACTTTGGACATCTCTTGTTACATGATCACTAGAGGTTTTATGTACACAAGTCCAAAAAACTGTGGAAGTATTGTTAGCCTTATTTGCCCTCCTTTTATAGGTCATAGTAAAAAACACAAGCATCCCAAGGCTTAGAGCCCATATCCATACCAGTTTCCATTCAGCCTCAGCTCCGACTCTTGGAGAACTGGTATAAACCACCTGTCTTGAGTCCAAATTTTTTTCAGTTTCTTTCAGGAGAATTCTCTATATTAGGGATAGCTGCTGCTATTCAATATGCATTATGGTAGAATAGAGTTAAAAGTTGTGGTGACTTTTTAAAAACCAAACTAGGCAAAGAAGAAATGCCCAAATTGGGACAGAGGTATGGTCTCCCTAAAGTCTGTAATGATAAAGATGTGGTTGTATAGAAATGAATGCATCATCTGAAGTAGTGGGTTTAACTGGGCACTGTATTCCTATTATACTTTTTAACTGCCCCATCTCAGATGGTTCTTTGTTAAGCACCTGAAGAATCATTACTTGTATGTTGGTTTTAACAGCTGGTATTTCTCAACTTCTTTCAGGTTAGGAAGTGGTAGGGCTCAAGATCACCCAAGATTACCTGACTTTTGTACATCTGAGGTGTGTGTGTGTGTGTGTGTGTGATGTTCAATAAGAGGTGGCTCAATAGATACATAACATCTTTTCCCACTTTCTCCCATAGAAAGTCTTCAAAATATCCCATAGTATTGATGATTTTCTTCCATTTAACAAATAGGGAAATCAGCACTCACTCAGGGATCTCTATTATTGCTGAAATCAGTAGGTGGTTTATTTGAACTCAAGGTCTACATGCAAAAACATTTTCTTGACAACAAATCTGCAACTCACAGTCCCATGAGACATCGAAGTTCCTGTTGAGGTCAGTGCCAATGCAAGTGGAATTCTGGTTCTTGGAACGGTTTTTTCTCCACATTCGGTTCTGCCAGAAGGGACATCAAAGCATGTAAACATGGTCAGCTGAACTTTTCAATGTGACCATCTCAGATTCTCTCTGTAGGTGTCTTGTAGGTGACATCAAGAGATTTATTTGAAATCTCTATAGTTAACTTGAGCTCCTTTATTATAAAGAAATGTTGTTTTCTTACAATTTCTAATATTTTCAGATACATAATTTTTAAACTTAATGTTTTAAGCATTGATGAAAATTGCCATAAGTTTAAAAATGGTTGATTAGTTTTCTATTAGAAAATGATCATTACCTGTCTGAGAAAGCAGCAAAATGTTTGTATTATTTTCATAATACCTGAGCAACCAGACCATCACAATTGATCAATGGACAGAACATAAGAAACTTGGACATGCTCAGCCCTAAATGGCACTACCTAAATGGGATATCTGTATCACACCTTTCCCTTCAAGACTGAGAGACCTCTGGGGAAGAGGGACTGGAAAGATTGTGAAGAGCCAGAACTGGTAGATGACATCAAGGAAACTGTTTTGTAGACACAACAGGACAGATACACACGTGAACTCATAGTGACATGACAGCATGCATAGGATCTACACTAGCTCAAGCCAGACAAAATTTCAGCATGGAGTAGGGGAGGTGGGCAGGAAGTCCTACCCTAGCTGAGGAGCTATGGATATTTGATTGCTGCTAGGAGAGAGAGTCAGTTTTCTTTAATGATACTGGATATATCAAGCACTTCAGGGCAAGCCCCATGCTCCAGAGTATTCGACTAACACAAACTGGACTTTGTGTGTGTGTGTGTGTGTGTGTGTGTGTGTGTGTGTGTGTGTGTGTTAAAGAGAGACAGAAAACATGAAGTTGGGTGAGTAGGGAGGTGGGAGTGCATGTGAGAAGAGGTGGGAGATGGTAATAAGTAAGATAAAAATACATTTATGAAATTCTCAAAGATTAAATAAAAACATTACTTTAAAAAATTTAAAAATAAATCGGGGCAGCGGTGGCACATACCTTTAATCCCAGCACTTGGGAGGCAGAACCAGGAGGATCTCTGTGAGTTTGAGGCCAACATGGTCTACAGAGCGAGATCCAGGACAGGCACCAAAACTACACAGAGAAACTCTGTCTTGAAAAACAAAAAAACAAAACCAAAACAAAGCAAAAAAAATTAAAAATATACCTCTCTGAACTGGAATCAAATAGTTACCCAAACCTTAAAATAGAAGCAACAATAAATAAAAACCAGTGACTAATACATTACATAAATGCAACAAACAAGCATATATACAGCAGTACCTGTGTCCATGACCAAATATATCCATCTACATTGAATATAGGCAGAATATAAAAGGTCATCCGGTCCAAGAGTTTGGTCATGATTCTATTTTTTCCATAACTCTTAGTTGCCTAGAGGAGGTAGAAAGTTAGGTTGCTATTGAGAAAGCTAGATTCTATTAGCCATAGCTACTTACCACTCTTTGAGTTGTTTTCCAAGGCTAGATGGTTTTAAACATTTTAAAAAGTAGATGAAGATAAATGAACCACATAGATTATAGGAAAAAACACTTTTTAAATGCAAAGACATGAACTGAAATGAACATTCTTTAAAGGTTGACTTAATTATTCATACTGGAAGCTGCCAGATATAGCCTGTATAACCACAGAAGAAATACAGCTAAGTGAAAGTTAATAGCACCAGGTACTTGATAAGGTCATTCTCTTATGTCCCTTAAATAAATATAGATCAAGTCTGTGAACGCAGGGAGATAGGAACATTGGAGAAGTTTCATAAATACTTGTAAATATGAATGAAGAAAAGGCCTTTTTAGTGCTGTGAATTCAACCCATGTTCTTGTGCACATCAAGCATGTGCTCTACCCACCAAAGAAATTCACATGTATATGTGTGTGGTGTACCTATGCCCCTGTGATTGAAGGCCCAAGCTTGACAACAGGTTCAGATGACTGCCTCAATTTCTCTCTATTCTCACTGAATTCAGAGCTTGACAATTTAGCTAGAGTGGCTGACAGAAGGTCCCGAAGATCCTTTGTCTCTGCCCCCCATCCAAGTCCCCTCCCCCAGTGCTAGGACTGTAGGCATGAGCTTTGCCCGTCATTGTTACAAGAATTATGGACCTCATGCTTGTGTGGCTAGCACTTTACTGACTCAACCATTTCCCTGGCCTCAGAAAATTAATAAAATTAATATAAATATCTGGCAATGATTTATGCTTCCTAGAAATCACAAAATATTAGGTTCAATTTCTAACAATAATGATAAAATAAAAAATTTAAATGTCACAAATTTAGAGATTGACCTGTCAGGGTTTCTATTTTCTGGCACAAATTCTTCGTTATCTGAGCTTTCATGGCTATCAAAATTCTCAAAAACAAAACCAATGAAATATGTAAAGCAAAACTAAAGGTTTATGTTCTGAGTTTATCAAAGAAAATTAAATTTTTAGTTTATAACATAAAATTGGTATCAGATTTTTACATAACTGCAGGATAAAATCAGTATTATAGCTAAAAGAAGTTGCTTTCACTATCATAAACTTTCAGGTGAAGTTTAAGGAGTTTGAAGGAGGATATGATTCTATAAAAACTGCAATGATGAATAAAACTCAGGCCTTATATGTGCAGGCAGAGGCAAATGTAGATTTCTCTAATTAGGTGGAGCACCAGACTTTTGGAAAGGAATGTTGTCATTCAGTAAAGCATTGGAGACCAGTCAGAGAGATGTTGATTGTGATCGGTTCACTTGCCTGATAGACAAACCACTGACAGAAAGCTGGGGAGACCCATTCTCGTGCATGAATGCCACAGTCCATGAAGATAGCCTTTCTTGTTCCATCTTTTTTCCCAATCTGTTGAAATGAGGGATTATTTTGCATTAGCCCTCATATTAGTCCCTTGTCATTTCAGTGGTTCATTTTCTCAAACATTATTTTCCTTGCCTGTTGTTGAACATGAACCGTGATTATGCATACTGTCCCCAGGGAAGATAATGGCTGCTATTCTGACTATACATAATTCATCATCTGTTACAGGATAATTTTTTCAATAAAAGTTTTTCCAAGGTTCAGAACTGCTTTTAGGGTTCTTAAAAAGCAAACAAAACAAGAAACAACTCAGTCAGGCGCTAGAGACATAGCTCAGCAGTTAAAGTACTTGCTACTCTCACAGGGGGCCTGAGTTCTGTTCCCAGCATCCATATCTAGTGGCTCACAACTGCTCCAGCTCCAGGGCAACTGACTTCCTCCTTTTGACCTCTTGGATACCCATACTCACATGTCCATATTCATATGCAGATATCCAAACAAATACATCCTTAATAAACAAAACGCATCTTCAGAAAATGAAATTTAGTGTCAGTGAGAAGGCTCAGTGGATAAAGGCACTGGTTGCTAAGCCTGATGACCTGAGTTCAGTCTTTAGGACCCATATAATGAAAGGAAAGAACTGGCTCCAAAGGTTGTTCTCTGTCATCCACATGTGTCATGACATACATGCAACTACACACACACACACACACACACACACACACACACACACACACACGCACTAAAAAGTTAAAAACCCATAATCTCTTCTTGGACAGGATGCCACATGCATACCTGCAATCCCACCACTCCTGATTTTCAGGTCAGCCTGGGGTATGCAGCAAACTAAATCTTGTGTCAAAAAATATCCTTGTTCCCTCAAAAATAAAGTTTTTCTTACTCCATTGTTAATGTTCTGTGCTGAGATAAGGACTGTAAAGCTAGTTTGTAAACTGGATTGAGGTCTGGTACTGTATATGTAGAGAGGGGTACAGGACCAGTACCTGATATTTGAAGGACTTCTGTTTTAAATGGAGTTCAGACTTGGTTTTGGTGGTTGGAGGCATTGAATGAATGGTGATATAGGTTGTGAATGCCTTCTCAGTTTTTAATGAGCTGCTCAGGCAGCAGAATCTTTGTCCCTTAGCTCTGTTGCTTTAACTACTATTCTGGTGTTACACATGCAGGATATTTAACTTTTTCATCATGGCATTCATTCACCATTTTTATTCCATTTTAATGGACTGGGAAGGAGTTGTAGACAATGACACTGCAAGGCATTGTAACAGAGCTTTCCTGTGAAATATTTCTTGCTTTGCTCATTCATGATCCATATCAGGTGCACACTCCTGGTTTTTTTTTTTTTTTTTTTTTTTTTTGATTGCATAGAAGATTGTAATATATGTTCTTGAGTTGACAGTTTGAATATTCAAAAAATGACATGTTTTCCAATTTCAAATTTAGTTCAGCTGCCACAAAGTGACTTTTGTGTCCATGTTTTAAAATAAGAAACTAATTAATGGGTCTTGAATTATTTTTACCTTGAGAACATATAATGGGTTATCTTCAACAGTTGATCCGATTTTAATTCTTGAGACCATTTCAGGATGTTTCTCTACCATTTTTTCAGTCCAAGAAACAATCTTAAGAACAAAATCAAATTTGAAGAATTAAAATAAAGGAAAATTGCATAACAACGAAAGAAGACAGTTATTTAAAAAGACCGTAATAGGCATTGTACACTATACCTTGTCCCAGTCGTTGTACTTTGCATAACTATGCCTGCCTGAGACTTCATCTTTCACATCAAACTGTTTCTCTATCTCTTCTTGTAGATCATGTATCAGAATTCTGTTAGTCAGAGAACGATAAAACACATTTATCACATGAACACTTTTATCATAGGAAAGGGAACGTTTTATCTTTCATTTGCAGGAAAATGCCTCTTCCTCTCCTCTATCTAGAATAGAGCCCACTTCCTCATTGCTCTGCTGAAGCCATCTCCTTTGAATAAGTCGTTGCATGGCTTCTGATCCCCCATCTATCTGAGCTATCCAGAACTTAAAACAGCCTTGCCCAGAAGTAGAGATTGTAGTAAGTATATATTATGCCTGACATTTTGAAGATTTTTTATGTAAAACATTTCACTAATAAGTTTGATATTGCTTATGTGCTTAAATAGTATTTGGCATATATTTAGTTAAATAAAATTAATTATATCTATTGCTTTTTTCCCTTACAATGAAATACTGGCATGTTGAAATCATATACCTGACTCATACTGTGACATCATAATGCTCCTAGCCTCCAAAGTGTGCAGAGGCACATCTATACCACACAGGCAATAGTGGGTATTCTCATGCACAAATCTCCAGAACAGATTTTATTGCTTTAGCTTTTGAAATTTGGGGAGAAGCTTGAATAACAATGATGGTAATAAAACTGGGGACTTAGCACTTAGCACAAGCTAAGTATTTCTCTAAACTTTTATGTTCATTAAGTCACTTCATCTTCACAAGGGATTTTAAAATTCATTTTACTGATAAAAAAAATCTAAGGCACAATGTGTTCAAATACATTATCTAATGATAGAGCTACAATGTGGGTGGCTAGTTTGCTTTTCAGGGGCAAAAAAAGTCAGGAAAAGTCAGTGAGAGGGGTGACACTGTTGGGGTCAAAAGGTTTATGCCTCTACTTTAAATTTACATCTTTTTTTTTGCATCAATACATCTCAGTATTCCAAGATCTTATAGACTGGAGAAATACTGGCCACTCAAGGTCTGCCTGTATTTAATTTTCAGCTCTGACTTCCATTCTGAACTTCTCATAAATGCATCAAACTACTTACCCTTAATTTTTCTCTTGTACTCTATCCTAAATGTGTTTAACATGGACCAGATTCCACTTTACATACATTATTTGATCCTGTCAATATTATCACTATTTAAATAATCAGGAAGTTATTGCTCAGAATTATTATGCTTATAATTTGTAACTTGATACACAATTTGTTTATTTATTGAATGTGTGTGTGTGCACACTCGTGTGTGTGTGTGTGTGTGTGTGTGTGTGTGTGTGTGTGTGTGTGTGTGTAGTTCAAAGGCAACTCAGAGGAGTCAGTTCTCTCTCCCCATGTGGGTATCTGAAACCAAACTCAGACACACCGACTCATCAGCACACTCCTTTACTCACCTAAGCACATTGCCAGCCCTGTAGTTAAAATGTCTATGTATTTGGAGTTGGGAATTAGAATCCAAAATACTTCAGCTTTGTTTCAAAAGTTCTGTTTTCATTATGCACACAAATATTTTAATGTATTTTTGTTTGTGGATTTACTATCAAGTTTTATGAACTTGTTTTTGAACTCATGTAGTAGGAAATTATATGCATAATAAAATCTAATGCTGAGTAAAGTACTTCTTTATTCTTATCTTCAAAAAATCTTTTGTTGGAATAATTTTTTATTTTAAAAATTTGTTTTTTGGTTTTTTTAAAACAGGGTTTCTCTGTGTAACAGCGCTGGCTGTCCTAGAACTCACTCTATATATCAGGCTGGTCTCAAACTCACAAAGATATGCTGCCTCTGTCTCCTGAGTGCTGGGATTAAAGGTGTGCACCACCACTGCCCTGCTTTGTTAGAATAATTTTAGAAAATAAAATCATCAGAAAAGTGGTTTCTTGATAAAAATTTTGATATTAATTTATGGATAAGTTTGAGAAGAATTTGGCTAAAATTGTACTTTTGGATATTTCAGCAAAATGTTGTATATTTTGATTGCCTTTTTGTATATTTTAAAACTAGTTTTGTAAGTGGCATTTTCTCTAGTAAACTTTTAAATTGGTTATTATTAAGATTAAAATACATTTGTTTTGGTTACACTTATGTATTGCCTATTTTATTGGTTTTAAACTTATTGGCCTTCTACTTTTAAATTACAGCTATGTATTAAGGGTTTCCTATGCAATTACTTTCTCTGTGATGAACTGTGTTTTTTTCTTAACTTTTCCCATTACTATTTCTTTGCTTTATTGTGTTGGTTAAAACATAGAAAAATAGTACAACTGGAAGAGGGCATTGTTTGTTTTTTTTAAATTTTGCTTTTGATTGGAAAAAAGTCTATCTATCATTCCCCATTAAGTATGATGTTGAATGCCACTTGTGATTAATATTTTAGGGTATACTTAGATGATGTTTGTATTATATCACATTAAGGCAAAGTTGCATTGATGTCTATTATAGCTTCCTGAGTGTGTTAAATACTGTGTTATAGCTGCAGAAGATTTACAAACATCCTTTTTGCTTCTTTTACATACAGTTTTAAAATTTGTGTTTAACCTAGAAGGAACAGATAAAGTGAGTCTCTGGGAAAACGACTTGCTTAAAAACAAGCCTTATCAGAGGACACAGAAAAGTAAAGGTACCTGACAATATGACACAATGAGCATAGAGGATTCTGGATATTCGTCTAAATGGTCCAATGCCTCTGGGTAGCTCCTGTACCCTCTAAGGATGTCACTCTTACAGTATGAAAATCATGATTATAATGACAGTCTTTTACCTAACGAAAAACTATAGTCAATATATTCTACTATGAGGCACAGAAAGCTGTGGATTAAAATAGAAATGTTTTTAAAATATTTAAAAGAAATAATTGAAAATTTGTGACAAAGCTCTCTGTGTCTGAATTATGCAATTGTGTCTAAATTATGTAACTTCTTATTGACTCTATATAAAGGTAGTGTCCTGCTATTGCTCATGAGATGACATTTTCTGTTTGTTAGCAGCAAATCCTGAGCTTAAGAAGGTGCTATCTATCCTTTAATGTGCTCTGTAGTCATTTAGACATACACTCAAGTCATCCAATAAGTGCAGCAGCTTAGGTTCAAATGCTTTTGATTTTGAAACTCAGTTCTACTCTTGATGCTAGATCTGACCTTGAGCAGATTAAATATTTCTCTGACCTTCATTTTTTTCCCTTTTCTAATGAGACCAAATATATCACCAAGGGTTATGAAGAAGAGGAATGAATAGGTGATGAGTTGTGCTCAGCATTCCTTAGGCATCCACTGATCCTAAGAACAGTGAGGTTGTTTCACAGTTGGCAACCACTGTTCAGAGTTAACACCCTTTAACTATATTTGACTATTTGTAGTCATGTAACTCATTGACACCCCCCCCCCAATTTCTTATGTTGCGTTAAAACACTGCAAAGGTCCTCTACTTGGTTTCTTTTTGTGAGTTGGCTTATAGATCTGGCTCTGATGCAGAACACAAGAGTAGTGTACTCCTAATTAGAATTTATTTAGCACATAGTAGCAAACACCACCTACAAATGTGAATTCTTTTTAGGAGCACTGACAGAATCATTATGCACGCATATTTAACTCACTGTCTGCTTCACATTTTCCTTATAAATTTTGGATTTCTGAGGATTTAAAGGTGTAAGAGCAATTTTGGATTTGGGCATGTGGCACTAAAATTCCTGAAGAGGCTTGAAAATGTGTTTTGCAGAGTTGCTACAGATACAGTTAATTGTTTCAACCTCTAAAGAAAACACATAGCTTTTGTCCCACCTGCATTAATAGAAGTAGGCTAATCAACAAAAGTAACATTTTGGGATCCCAGAAGCTGATTCACAATTCAAGACCATATTAATCAGTCACAGTAACCTTATATCAAATAATATTTTTAGACTTAACACTGGTCATTTCAGCTCTCATGATAAGTACAGCAAAAAGATCCATGTAAGTGGAAATATAATCTTTCCACAAATACAGCTGCATGAGGACACAAGACTATTGCTGATATAGACTACAAGTTATACTTAAGGCTGGGAATTATGACCTAGGGCCAGATGTCATTTTTATAAACCCTTCCACTAACCAGAAGCCAGATTTAACAGAGAGAATCAAATTACTTTTTTTTCAAATATTATTTCCTAGATTTATTTACTTTGTTTGAAAAAAGTTCCAATTCTAAATGCAGGAGAAGTGATAAAGAATTATCACTGGGGATGTAATAATACAAACAGGTGATGTTTATCAAGTCTTCATTTTGTGTCAGGTACTATGCTCAGATTTTTTTTTTTTTTTTGGTTTTTTGAGACAGGGTTTCTCTGTGTAGCTTTGTGCCTTTCCTGGAACTCACTTGGTAGTCCAGGCTGGCCTCGAACTCACAGAGATCCGCCTGTATGCTCAGATTTTTACCTGTATTTTATCATGTCAACATTGTCAGCAATGGTGGTTGTGTATTATCACTCCATTTTACAGAGGACCTTAAATTTATTTTCACAATTGTCATAACATAAAGCAGTTGAGCAGGAATTTTGAAGCTACAATGTCCAACTCTGTTGACATTGTCAGAACTATTACACAACAGTGCTTTCTTTTCTAGGTGAGAGCTCTGGGCTCTGGCTCCCAAGTCATAGTCTTCTTGGTCTTCAGAAATTCTTGGAAGGTTTTCCAGTCCCCCTGTTCTCATGGGAGACTTGACTCAGTCCCAGTCTTTCAAAGTGAATGAGCCCCCACTTGGTTCAGAGAAGTGGCCAGATGAATCCTACTTCCTCAATTTCAAGGCTAATTTTAGAGAGTATCAAAGAAAGATGAGATAACTATGGGTCAGTCTCTAACTGCTCTGTGTGTGTGTGTGTGTGTGTGTGTGTGTGTGTGTGTGTGTGAGAGAGAGAGAGAGAGAGAGAGAGAGAGAGAGAGAGAGAGAGAGAGAGAGAGAAAGATTTTTAGGTTGTTTTCTACAACTGGTCTGGGCTCCCTTTGATGTCCATGTTATAGCAGAGCTATTTAAAAAAAATACATATTTAGGTTCTATAAAATTGAATTTGGTGACTTCCTAA